TATATAAAATTATAAAAATATAGATAATTAGACAAATAGATACAAAGCACGCGTGAGAGAGAAAAGTTTACTATTTATGGTGATGGTTTGCTTCCATTATCTACACACGATAGGACTTTATTTTCCAGCGTACCCTTGTCTGTACCTTTATTCTCTTTTCTCTTAGTCACTGGAGGATTTGTTAAGCGTAACACAGCGAATTTAATTCCCGTGTAAAGTCGAACGAATTAGTCTAATATAGCTTTCTTACTTCGTGCGTAGGTAACTGTACATTTTATCTAATAAAATGCTAATGTAATATTTTTAAAATGGTCTCCATCACTTATTATACTGTTTACCTTAATACTTGTATGTCCAAAAAAATTAAGGAAAAGAAGTATATTAATATACTTAAGTATAGAATCCTTAAATCATTAAATGTTACACATTTTTATTACAAGTTAATTCTATATTTCTGCTACATTTACATACTTTACAAAAGATGAATGATACCTAAGATATATATAAGTTAATTTGCTTTACCATGTAGGCTTTAATCATGATTAACATTTATAAATAAATTCTGTACATATATTACGAACAATTATCCTTTGATAACTGCGATCGGCCTTAATTTTATACATTTCCGGGAAATGCCTGCAGCATGGCATGTATTTACGACATCCGTTACATTTTTGTAAGACTCTGGTGCTTCTTCCATCACTAACTTAGGCGAAGCAACTCTGATAGATATCCCTTGCTGTTCTAGTTTTTCTAGTACATCCATGTAATTCAAGTTTCTACGCGACTTGGCTCTAGACAAAGCTCGACCCTAAATAAAATTTTTTATTTCATTCAGAGATCATTATATACTTTTATAAACAAAAAGCTTCCACTTACTGCTCCATGGCAAGTAGATCCAAATGTTTCGTCCATAGCTTGTTTAGTTCCAGTAAGAACATAACTACAAGTTCCCATAGTGCCTCCAATTAAAACTGGTTGACCTGTTAGCTGATAATCGACAGGAATCAGAGGATGGTGAGGTGGAAATGCTCTTGTAGAACCCTATAAAAAAAAATGATTATATAAAAATTGTTAAATGTAATCATTATAAAATCCTTTTTGTTTACCTTTCTATGTACTAAAAGTGTTTTCTGTTTTCCATCCACTATATGCTCTTCTATCTTTGCAATATTATGAGATACATCATATATAACGTGCATATCTAACTCATCGGGAGACAGCCGGAACTGCTTGGCGAATGCCTGTCGGCTAAGAAATGTCATAGAACTTCTATTGACCCATGCAAAATTTGCGGCTGCAGCCATTGCCTTTAAGTAATCTTGTCCTTCTTGAGATTTGATATGAGCACAAGCTAACTGCCTATCATTAGTTTCAATATTGTCCCGTTTCATAGCTTTTTCCATTTGTACAAGTGCATCTGTAACATAAAAAAGTTTCAAATGTGTTACTCGTTCTAAATTACTTTTCGCACAAAAACGATTTATTTCATATTTATTACCAGTTGCAACTTGATGTCCAAATCCTCTACTACCAGAATGAATCATCACACAAATTTGATTTTTCTCTTCAATACCCATTTTACATGCAGCCCATTTATCATAAATTTCATCTACTACTTGAATCTCAGCATAATGATTTCCAGCACCCAATGTTCCTAGCTATAAGATTATTTGTATAAATGATCAGATATTACTCAATATTTATATTCATGATGAAGTAAATTCTTAACATCTTGCCTGTGGAAGTCCACGTTTCTTAGCCCTCATTGATACTTTTGATGAATCTGCATTAAGCATTCTACCATATTCCTCACAATGTTCTTTGTCTTCTGCCCAAATATAACCTGTAGGAAGTTTAGAAATAAACTTAATATTGATAACAAAAATTTACTTTATTAAACATATACATACCTTCTCTAAGAGACCAATCCATTCCCATTTCTAGGGCTTCTTCTAAATCATGTGCATTCATAGGTATAATTCCTTTTGAACCAACACCAACAGGAATATGATCAAACATACTCTGTGCAAGTTGTTCCTAAAAGTAATAATTAGTTTATTTTAATTCTTATAATATGTCTATAAATATCAATTAAGAAAACATAATACCTTTACAGGTACAACATCTTTTTCGAAAAGATTAGTTCTTAATAATCGTACTCCACAATTTATATCAAATCCTACACCACCGGGTGATACTATAGATTTTGGATCATTTACATCAAATGCTGCCATGTTACCAATAGCAAAACCATATCCAGAATGTACATCAGGTAATCCAACAGATCTCCAAACAATTCCAGGAAGAGCAGCGACATTAGCAATTTGTTTCATACCTGGGAGAAACCCACCTACTGCTCCAGGTCTACATGCATTTCTTAACTCATCAAACATTAAACGTTCTAATGTATTATTTACATAAAAAACACCCTCAACCTATGGATAAAGAAATATTTAACATTTGTGGGCGAGAAAAAATATACATATGTATATAATTAATGAATAAGATACATATAATTAATGAATGCTTACCTTCATATTAGGTTGAAAACCTTTTTTTATCCTCCAGCATGTATCATTTATTTTTTCTAAATATTTTAACTCTTCTTGATATTGTCGAACTACCATTTTTATTTATAGTATATTCTACTTTTTTGAAAATTTATTAATTCTAGGTAACAAATTCTACTTTTTTGAAAACGTATAAAATTGTACTATAGTTTCTAGCTCAGAATTAAATATTCTCTTCTAAATTTCTGGATAATTTCATCCAATTAATAGTACAAGGAACTAAGACTAGATCTAAATACAATTCTGCTTACATTTATTATCGTTTAAAAACAACGTTACCTTTTACTGACAAAATATTGTCGACTAAACTGACGGTCTTCTGCAATTTCTAATATATCAGTGTTGCAAACGTATAAAGAAGCGGTCGTTACGCTATCATTTTAAAAATCATTCTTTCGTCAAATTTAAAATCCATAGTTTCAATAGCACATATTTAATATATTTATATGTACAAATTTTATTATTTTCTCTGCAATATAAACTTCTTGGCGTAATTTTAATGACTTAACAAAAAGTAATAAAAATATTAATGTAAGAAGAAATATATAAAAAGGAATAAGGAGGGATACTTTATTTTCGACATATTTTCGATATTTTATTTCCAATTATAAAATATTTGTATTGTTTTTATCGTGCAATATTAAACAGAAAAGTTGGTACTAATATAGTATATAATCTGAACACTGAAGAGTGTTATAAAATACAAAAATGGCTACTGTTCTAAAATCAGGTGTAAAACATGCAAAACCTATACTATCATTAACTCATGGAGATGCTCGTAGAAGAACATTAAATTTGTATAAAGCATGGTATCGTCAAATTCCATATATCGGTAAGTATTTTAATTATTGTATATTTCTTACTTGAAAATCGGTAGTATGTCACATAACCTAATTGTGTTTAAAATAGTTTACGTTTGTGCGACTTAAATTTATTTTTTGTTGTCAATATAATACATTGATTTTTTATCTATTTTACTTCGATTTTAGTAGAAATAACTTAAAGTTCAACGTTTCAACTTTTAATAAAAATTTATACTAAACTTATTATCTTTTGTAAAATTGTAAAACACATACATACACACACATATATGTGTATTTATATATATATATATATATTACATAATTAATTTTGCAGTAAACAATTACTTGTTACCAAAAACAGAGGCAGAGTGTAAACAGAAGTTACGGGAAGAATTTAAACGTTATGCTCATATACGTGATATAAGAGCAATTGATTTGCTACTTATTAAAGTAAGGATAGATATTTTATGTATATTGTAATACATATACAATATTAATAATTGTGACATATTAGGGACAAATGGAACTTCAAGAAATTTGTAGCATCTGGAAACCAACTGGAAACCTGTTGAATTATTGGAAAGACACTGAAGAACCAAAGCCAACGGATTTTATGTCAAAATTCATTGCAGGGCAAGATTGAATTTTGTGATATTAAAACATATAAGTTGCATATTGTAATTAGATACATCTATACATATAATTTATAAGCCATGTAAAAAGAGTATGCACACACAAACATACATATATATATATATAATATATGTTTCGTTAATTAGGTAGGAGTTAAATATATAATAGAGAGGAAAACCTACTATTTTATTAAAAAATCGAATTATACAATATTTCAAAAGATGAATCTTTAATCAGCTCTTACAGAAGACAATATTTCTTTTAATTTACATTTTATCTTTACATCTATATATTATTATTCACTTATATACATTTGACAAGATGATATATTACTAAGCACCTTAGGTACAATCTAGTTCACTTTTCACAGCCATACAGATAATTTGCTTTCCTTCAGTGAACAAGTGTCGAAATTATACATACATACATACAAGCATACATACATACGTGCATACGTACATGCATACATACATACATACATACGTACGTACGTACATACACACACACATACATACATCATACATACATACATATGTTTGAAACGAGTGTATTCGAACTTGCGTAAATGTACATTTTTAACTATGCACGTGTTTCTTTCTTTTTGTTTTACAATGGGAATCGTTTGTTCTACCTCGAGATAGACTTTTTTTACATGATTTCTGTACTTGTTCATACTTTGGTTAGAATCATTTTTATAAAAGTCATTCTAGTTTCATTATATCCTCGGATTAAAAATTTTAATAGAGAAATCTCGTACTATGTAAAAAAAACATATTTGCCGCCAATATAAAGCGTACTTTAATACAAATCATAAAATATCTAGGTATTAAAAATATACACGGTCGGTAACTTTTATACCCATACATTCCACATATCTATACGCTAAAAAAAATGGCAACAATACATCATGCTTATGATTCATAAATGTAATAATGTTTTTGTGCACTCGTATGTTTTGCAGTAGAAGATTTCGTGTTCGAATTCCCTTCACTTCTTTCCTCGGCTACCGACGTATTTCGTATTAAACTATACTTTCACGTTCCGACTGTATATCGTAACCTGCTATTACACCCCTTCTTAACGAAACATCACTGTTGCGCATTCCATTGCCACTAAACAGATTTAGGAGCCAGCTTCTGATCGAATTTCGTGCGGAGGACTTTTTATCTGGTACGCTGTCTGTACTAGGAACGGATACCACTTCAAGAGATCGCCAACGTTTAACAGGCACAATTTCTCCCATACAACCACTCTCATCTCCTAGTAACGGTGTCTCTGCTTCGTTAGGCGACTCGTCGGTATGGGGCACTATTATCACGTTACCATTCGGATAATTGTTATTCAACACGTTTTTAGAAATATTCGTCTTTGAGTTAGTCCGTGTGCACTTGTCACAATTCTCCAACGACCGAAAACTTTTCTTAGGTTCTTTCCAAGAAAAATTCCGCGACTCGAACCTTTTGTTATAGAGCAGTAACGGGAATGGATCTAGCGAACGAGACTCTCGTATTATCGTTTGAAACGGATAGTCGCTCGTGGAGGATGACGAAGCAATTGTTGACAGAACCCTTGCGTTTTTCCTAAATTTTGGCCTGGTGTCGATAAAAAAATCATCGAGTGCCATTTTAATGTTAGCCGCTCGATTCTCAACATCTTCTTGCAACGCGACATTGTCAAGCGTTGTCCTCGATACGCTATCGGTCAAATACAAAGGAGATCGTTCCAATTTCCGAGAGTTAAGAGACTTGGGCACTGGACTGGACCCTCCGCATTGAGACGAAGAATCATCTGGCGTTGGTCTCGGGACACTTGACTGTCTACGACTGCCCGCTCCTAGACCTCCTAATAACGAAGCCTGTCGAGAATCTGAATTTAATTTTGGACTCCTTCTCGGTCTGCAAAAGAGTGGTGGAAGATCACCAACGTCCACCTAGAAGCATAAACATTAGGATCAAATAAAGTTTCGATATACCTTTAGAATAATGTTACTATACACCCTTTCATACAAACCTCTCGTTTTTGAATGGCTCTCTCAGTGGCTCCAGTGAGCCAGTAAGTTTTTACTTCTCCTTTTCCCTTCATATGAACCAAGCCACGTTCTTCAATGATGTAGCCACCGATTTTGTCCAGAGCATCTTTACATTGCTCGCTTATGTGAATACGCAATGGTTCACCGTTTGATTCCATGCGCGAAGCTGTATTTACGGTATCTCCGAACAAGCAATATCTAGGCATTGTTAGACCAACAACACCTGCTACCACAGGTCCTATAATATTTATTATTTATATACACATATGTATAAACAAAATTATCGAGTACTGTTTAGCATCTTCTCTTGGAATACGATACCTGTATGGATCCCAATGCGCAATTTAAGAGTGTCTTGGGGCCTGTGAGCTATGGTATGGTGTTTCACAGCGTTCAGTAAGTCTAGAGACATCGATGCAATTTCTCCGGCATGCCTATTTCCATTTTTTAGTGGCAAACCGGAAACCTGACAGAAGCGGTACGTTGTAAAATATTAATAGACAAATATTACACGTAAAATATATTAGAATACGTGAAACCTATAATACGCGAATAACACGTATAAATAATAAACTTTTATAAAATTTAGATACATATACATACCACCATGTAGGCATCACCGATTGTTTCTACTTTGTATACATCGTATCCTTTGATTATGCGGTCAAACAAAGTGTACAAATCGTTTAAGAAGTTTACAACCTGTAAAATAAAGGAATAACGTCGTTCGTAATCACGTTAAATCACACGTTTTACTTCCTGGACGATCGGTTGGGGAAAAATATACCTGGAATGGTGTGCTTTCTGCAGACATTGCAGTAAAACCAACGATATCGCTGAAGTATATAGTAACCAAATCGAAAGCTTCCGGTTCCACACCGATTCCATTCGTCAAGCAATTCGCAACGGGTCTGTAAGAAGCACATGTACATTAACCACGAATGTGGTTTACCTTTTTTCTTCTTCGATTTTTCTTTCTCAAGAACAGGATTGATTCGAAACTTGAACTTACTCAGGCAACATTCTATGTAGTAGATCCTCGGTTTTTTGCTTTTCCTCGAAAAGAAGGCGTGTACGTTCACTGACTAGATCTTCGAGGTTGTTCGCATACTTTTCCATCATGTCCATCATTTGGTCCATGATATTGCGATGCCTTCCCGCTTTCATTTTCTTTAATCGCGTCCTTATCATTTTGAAGTCAGGCCTAAGTTCCGGACTTTCCGCCCAACAGTCGGTAATCGTACTAACTATATACTCAGCACAGTCTGCTTCAGACTCGGATAGTATCTGTATGTTAGGTCTAAACGGCGGTTCACCATCTTCTGGGAACCTTTTCACTCGGTCTATGATTTCTGTCAATTTGTTAACGTTCATATTTATATTTCTGCAGCTATACCTTTTGGTAAACGCCGATTCACGAATGACAATCGTTAATGCTTACGGATCTCTTATGATACACGGATAATTTACCTTTGGGTTCTAGATTCACGCCACCGTACGGCCCCTTTCGTCCGATTATCTCGAACAATATAATCGCGAACGAGTAAATATCCCCTTCCTGGGTCCCTTTGATCGGAGCATTGGGATTCCTTAATAGCTCAGGTGCCTTCCAGAATAAGTCTACGGTAAAACGAAGATTTACACGGTGACATTTAAATCGGAATCATCGATAGTAAAAGATATAAATTTCAACGGTATTTCTATTTTCTTCGTACTTCGATAATACTGATGTTCACCAATGCTGTCGGATTCAGCGCAGTGACGCATATCGTGCAGGCCAAAATCAGAGACTTGGAGTACCCATCGCGAGGTCACCACGCAATTGGAAGACTTCAGATTACCATGACAGACTAGCACAGATGACTCATGAATGTACAGCATACCCTGTAATACCGTGTAAAAATAAATTCGCAATCGTTTCGCAATTAGAATATCTTTGATTTCCTTTCCAACGTGTATATACACTTGCCTTAATGAGATCGTGAACTAACGACGCAATGAACATATCATCTAGCTTGATATCTTCGTTCTCGATGATATCCTGAAACACGCACGCAATGTGATCATTCGATGAAAACACCAGCAGACCAGATTACACGTTCATTCGTGTATTAAGGTGACGTACATAAAGACTTCCTTTGGCGCAATAGTCCGTAATTAACAATATCCTCATTGGCTCGACGCACGCCCCGATGAAAGAGTTCAGGTTACCGTGCCTGATCTCGCGAAGGATACGCATCTCCTTCATCACGTCCCTGGAAATGTCCTTCTTCTTCGAGAACTTCAGTTCCTTTATCCTCACCACTACCCCGTGGTAATGCCCGGTTTGCGCGAACACCTGGCCCCCGCATCTTGACTCGTAGGACATTGCACTAACTAAGCTTAACTGCAATCACAGAACGAGAGACGAGATAACGCGACAATTCGAGGAAAAGAAGAAGAAAAAGAAGAAGAAACCATTGAAACAAAAGCGTCTGCTACTTGACAAAACGAAATTTCAAACCTGATATTTACATTTTCACTTGGAAACGAGACGTCTCGTTAGCAGAAACGAATAGACCAATACGCTTCGTAAGCGTATAAAATGGTAAATGGTAAATGACGTTGCTCACTTTACTAGGGGAGGACATCATGTTGTCAAGGTGAGGATAGCCGTGTATCTCGCTCGGCTCGATCTTCCACAGCAATCCCTCGATTTCCTGTTCTATCTTCCACCTTCGGTATATGCTCATAGTGATTACCGCGGCGCAGAACAATAAAACGGCCAGCACACCGGCGGCCACTATGCTCCGCAGGTGCGTGTCGTCTTTGGGACAGTGTTCGTTGAGGAAACCGCATCCTGGTTCCGCTTCCGGCTTGTTTTTACCCGGCCAATCCATCGCCTCCGACGACCTGTACACCTGAACAAGATCGATAATTCATCCTTTGATACCTTGTACGATTTCAGACAGCTCGCTCTGACAAGTTTCAGCGACCGCGAAGAGATTATTACAGGAGCAGTTCGAGAATCGTGAATGGAAATGAGCTGCACGAATGCTGTAAACAACTCACTCACTAGAGTTTCACCCTGTTGAAATTGGCCTACAGGCTTCATTTGGTAGTCGCAGGAGAAATTGTTGAAACGGAACGGGTCCTTCTTCAGGGCCAATACCGAGAAGTTTCCCTCCGAGTCGCCAAACTTGTCGAACTTGATGGTCGCACCGCTGACACCTGTTCGGAATATTCATAAAATAATTCGGCGAATCGTCAGAAAGGAGAATGACTTTCTCCGGATCGAGTATTCTCCCCGTCCTACGATACTCGAGTGTCTCTAGCACCTCGCGATAGCGCGAAATATCTACATGGATGATACGCGTACGATCGCACCCACTCGTTCTAATCGGATCTAGAGCCTTATCGACAGATCGATCAGGCACTCGAAGCTGAATCGAGCAATTCTTCCTACCAATTACACGTGTACTCACTCTGATACGTGTGATTTCTGATAATCGTCTCGATGATCTGGGTGCCATTGCTAGCGATCTCGCGCAGCGTGTGCTCCGGATGATCCCTCATCAGTTGGTCCAGGGCTCTCGCGTACAGTTTCACGGAATCGTAAAGATACGAGGCGTGAATCGACACGTACTGGAACGAGAAAATCACATGGCCGATCAATGGACCGATATCGTCTCGGTGGTTGACAAGAGCGCGCGAAAGGTTGGGAAAAAGAGAGCTATACCTTTTCGTATTTCCTCAGCAATTCGGGGATCACGAAGTTGAACGGCTCCTTGCTGCTGTACTCCCTGACCTTCTTCGTGAATTCTTCGTAGTTCTGTGTGGGTGGCGTGGATACCACCACCATGAGGGAGCGAGCCCTCTTGAGGAAGTCCTTCGGCTCCATGCAGTTCCGCAGATTGTCGAAGTGATCCGGTTCTGCAAGGGACGGATCGCGTGCGAGGTGAGAAAGAAGCCGTGTACCCTCCCTTTCGTGGAGGGAAACGGAAATATCCGATTCGAGAGCGGAGCAACAACAAGGGACGACGACTCTAGAGGAACGTCCATTAAAATCGGATCACGTGCTGGAAACCGGGTCACGAGCGAGCCAAGCCTGACCCATGACGTTTAATCTCGGATTAGATACGGAAATGACGAGGTAACGAGGAACGCGGTACGTTCCGTAAAGGAGGACCGGAGGACCGCGAAGGAGGCCCAAGAATCGGGTCAATCGAATTTCACGGGTCGTTTGGGGGGCCCCGAGTGGTCCTGTGCTCGTGATCGCTACTTACTCCATAAGTACTTTTGCGCCTCGCGCGGCGAGTATGTCATCATGTCCACGTGTATCACCATGTACTCCCCGTTGTCCAGCAGCCGTTGATTCTGCATCGAGTTCATCATGTCTATCAGCGACATCGCCGTTCCCAGGAATATGTAAACTGTCGACAGATTTACGCCTTCCGTTAGACAGGCCCCTGCCAGCAGTCGGAACGCTGAATCGACGACGACCGACCGATTTCCAGGACGGAACTGACTTTCACGCTTCATTTTCCTACCGGCAGGGAAAACGGCTGCGGCTCACAGCGTGCCACGCGATTATCGCCGAGATCACGGAACGCGTTGCCCCGCGTACTTATCGCGTACCTGTCGCGTACCCGTTCCCACGCGGGAAACACGCGAAAGCATGACTCGCGATGGAAGTTACGGTGGTCGGTTGAACGATCTAACCCCGACGCGTAGATGCAGAAAAATCCCTCGACCTCGTCGCGTCGCGACGTCTCTCTCGGAGCTCGCGCGCGGCTCGCTCGACTTCGTTCGGCCGCGTTAAAGATCAATTTGTATTCTTTCGTTGACGGGGGTCAATTCCGGTATCTGGGACGCTAAAATCTCGCGCGAACTCGATCCGACCCGATGAAGTCGTTCCACCGACCACGCGTCTCTATTTCGAACCGGGAAAACACGAGGGGGCCCGCGGTTGTAACGAGCCGCTAAAACGGTAACGGAGCGTGAAAAACGACGAGCGTGCAAGACAAAGAGAAATAGAAATGGAAACGCACGCGGCGAGTAAGAAGAAGCTCTAGAATGGCAGCGAATAGGTCAAAAAGACGAGGTTTCGGTCGCGTCGATGACAGCGTTCCGCGAGACGCATCAAAGCTAAAGAGAGAACTGACTTCTAGTCATATTTTTGGTCTCCTGTATGAGCTGGAACCACACGCTGACTTGACAGCACGGCAGTCTCTCTTCGCAGCACGTGTGTCGATCCTCCACGGTCTTGTAGTGGTTGACGGTGAGGTTGTTCTTGGTGGCCTGCTCCTCCAGCGACCGGGCCACCGTCGACCAGGCGCTCTCCGTGATGATGGTGAATTTGTTCCAGCCATAATGGAGCAGCAACGCGATCACCGACTTCGTCACCTGCGTGTCCGGCGGCTCGGTCCTCGCGAACGTGTTCACCTTCGACGCTTTGTAGTCCGAGCATTTCTGCAATCCACACACGGTTTCCCGATCGCGTTTAGCCAGCGTTCAAGTGCACGCTTGCGCGGTTCTTTGCGCTGGATGCGTTAACGTGGGCTGGACGAGGGAACAACGGTATAGGGACACGATCGAGGTTCAGTTACATAGCTACTCTCGGTCATAACTCGCGTTTAATTTCCGATAATAGAGAGACAGTAGTTAGTAGATAGTAGACGTCTCGCGTTTTCGCGATGAGCGACACGGAGATCCTGAGCAGAGTGTCCACGCGTCGACTCTGATCAGGAGGTACACTTCGAAGGTGCAGAAAGCGATAAGAGGGAACTTGGACGAGCGTGGGAACCGCGCGGCAAAGCCATCGAAGAGTCGAAAACGCAAAAGCCAGAAAACTGAAAGACCAACGGTGGTGGATAAGAGAGACGAGAAAAGAACGACGATGACGATGACGAGGAAGAAGAAAGAGGAGAAGAGGATGGAGAAGAAGAAGAGTGGATCTCTATCGAAAAGGGTTGGACGGGGAAAAAGGAAGGGAGCAGAAGGAGTAGGTGGCGGTGGGAAGAGAAAGAGTAGAAGAGACGGAAAGAGAGTAGAAGGCAGGAGAGTAACGCGGCAAAGTGGGCTGCGCCGGGTGCCATGGTGTGTGGCGCGCGGTTAAATATAAACCTGTGGCAGGCGGCACGAAGGAGGGCAGGAGGAGAGTGGAATGAACGGGGCAGCTCTCTTCTCTCTTCTCTGGTGCTCGCGCGGAGAAGTGCACGGGGCGGTTGCTCCGTACCGTTGAAATGTGACATGCGCTCATTAACATATAAATTAAACGTGACAACTGGGGGTCAGTTCTACTTTAACCGTGGCGACCACCGCCAGGCCACGATCCACTTTCCGTTGTTTTTTCCTCCTCCTCGTCCACCTCCTTTTGCTTTTTCCCTCTTCCGAGTCTCCGTCGGGCCCCGACCAGCCTTCTCTTCTCGAGGTACCGACCGCGAGACCACGAAATTCATGCATCCACCGAGTCCCGCGATCACCGCCGCCACACTTTTCCCTCGTTACGTCGCCGTCCATGGGATTTGCGGTTACGGCGAGCGTTGCCCGCGCGATCACGGCCGCACCGTCACGCGTGCTGCCGATCGTCGCTTGAAAAATTATCCTTATCGTCTCCAGCAGCCACGGCAAGTCTTTTCGCTTTCGACCCGAGTCTCTTGCTTTCGATACTATTCCACTTTCCGAGATATTACGGGCGAAAGTTTCCCGGTACCGTACCCAGTGTCTTTGTAATTTTCTTCCGGTGATAAGTTAACGCGGCAGACACGCGTCGCATGGTTTAGTATCGCGACCAAAGTCGTCCTTGAGAAATTTACGTTTCGATTTTTTGGCGAATACTCTCGTCCACCGAATCGATCGACTTTACGTGTCATTTGCATAAGGCCCAGCGAAATTATCGCAGAATTCGATAGGTAAATCTCGGAACGGTTAGAGCAGGAGTCGGAGCATCAGATTAATTTGCATGGCTCCGCGACCCGCGTGCCGAAATCGAACACTCTCTCTTTCCAGCGTCCTCTGCTCGTCCTCCCACGATTCCAGGAAGTCGAGATCGTCAGCAATTTACCCACCTGGCCGGGTCTCTTCTTTTTATTCTCGGTCCCGCGCGCGATCGTAAAGCCGGCCGGCGCTTTTTGCGCGGAATTTCGGCTCGAAATGCGAAATTGCGCGAACTCCAGGAAAACGTGGAACGCGAGGGAGCGAGTTCCTCCCTCGAGACACTCCCTTTTTCGAACACCGGACGTGGAGCATCGCGATACTCTGCGTATAAATTCGTCGAAAGACAGTCGATTACGCTCTGTGCGTGACGCTGACTTTTATCGCAATCGTGTTGTGAGAAAAGGGGGAAGAAAAATGGGAGAAGAAGATCGAAATTGATCCGGGTTGCATCGCAATGACGAAATTACGATTGTCCAGTTATCGCGCTGTGGTTAAAAGGAAGCATTCCGATTAAGCATCGACCTTGCAGGAATTAGGGGATCTCGACTCGTTGCACACCAATTCGATCGGCAAACTCGCTACGTGTCCCTCCGTACTCCGTTGGTTCGCGGTGCGCGGAACTCCGCGACGCCATCTTTGAACGTTCTCCAGTGTGCGGTGAACTATTCGCCGATCGAACGCCGAATATTAATCGAAACGTTGCTTTCGACGCAGATCCCCTATCTCCGGCGATAAATCATTATAATAACCCGATTTTACCACCGCTTACCTGTTCCTAATCTTATCTCGATACTCCGATTGGAAATGGTAGGTATACGACGGGTATAAATAATATGATCGGACTCGGGTAAAACGAAGAAATTCGTTCTGTATCGTCTGGCCCGATCGCGATAGTCGCGTAAAGCGTTCGACGGAGGAGCGTATCTCGGCGCGTTAACGCGTAATCCCCGATCGAGAGGATTCGCAGAAGATGCACGACTGCGATGGTACGTAACCGAGCGGCGAACGACCACGCAACCGTGTCCCCTGGTTTTGCATAAAACCCGGCCGGTGATCGATGATCCGGTAGACGAAACTGGTCCGGCTTAGAAGAACCAGTCGTCCCCTATTGCCGTGGAAGCAACGGGGCCAACGGGTCTCGCCGCGAGGGAACAAAGAGGACACGGAGGACTCGTAGGAGAGTATTGTCTCAAAGGAGGCACCACCGGGCCCCGCCTGGTTCTCCGGTCAGAGGGGCTAGGCGGAACGGGTCCGAAGGGCCGGTAGACAAAACTGAGGGAACCTGGGTCGGTTATCCTGCGGCCGCTGCCGCTGGCACGGCTCTGCGGCTGGCTCGGCTTGGTGAACGAGCTGGGCTTTGGTCATTGCCGGCTCGCGACGTGCTGTTATTCTGGGCTCCACTCGGCTATATTTAGACGAGACCACCTTGAGGGAGCTCGAGAGAGCTCGAGTGCTCTCCGCGGACTGCAACCGCAGAGAGGCTTTTCTCTATTGGCCGATCGCGCGCGTTAGTTGTGCAACGCGCGTTCGCGATCCTTTGGAAACGCGACCGAGGAATTCCTGCCCACGCTCTTTTTCCCCCTCGCTCCTTTTTCATCGTACTCGCGCGTGTACGTGTTCCCAACCGGCCTCGCCGCGGATTCGAGTAGTAAAATTTCACCGCGCCGCAGATTTATGCGATTTCCAGAAACGCGGACGCTCGGTACGCGCCTTTTCCTCCTGCCTCGGCCAAACATCTCGCCGGTGCAAGTGCAGGCACGCATCGATTCGACGACGCCCGCCGCGAACTGCTAGCAGCCACGGCGCGTAGCAGACGGCGCGTCTCATCGCGAATTCTTCGCAGCGCTTTTTTAAATTTATACCCTACTGTTTTATAATTGTTCGCCGCATCCATAAAACATGAACCGCGGATATTTCATCTTTCCGCCGGGTAGCGATCCGCGCCGTTCCTCAAAATTATGCCTCTAAACTCGTCTTTACGTCGGGGAACGCGACGCACGCTGCGTCCCGGTGCATCGACGGCCGTCCGACGTCCGCTGAATAACAATCGAGCAATCGTCGCTGCTGGTCCCGCGAGCCAGTTTCATCGCGCCAGTCGATCCTCCTCGGACTTGAATTCCGATTCAACCTATCTAACGCCGCTACTAGAATCGTTCGTCCGTCGTCTTCCTGTTTGTCGCGTTAAGACGGAAGTCGCACCTGGGCGGCGAGGAAGGCTCGAAGGGAAGTTAGGAACGCGACGGAATATTAATTCCGCGTTTGATCCGTCCAGAACCGGTGATCGACCGTACCAGAACCGATGCCGACAACGTGAACCTCGGGATGAACCATCGCGGCGAATCTCCGGTGGGACGGAGAACGGAGCGTTTTCCGGAAATTTCTCGCTCGCGTGTTCGACGTAACGGAAGCGCGATCCATCGCGAAGCGAGACTTACAAACAGCCAGATCGTTCCGAGCGATAGCCCGTACGAAGAAGTCGTTAGCGCAACGGAAAGCGATGGCAGGTAATTCCACGAGCCTACAAATTTCCCAGCCACTTTCCCTCTCTCGCGGTGTAAATTATTCGGCTTCGGCGAATCGGAGGATCGTCCGAGGGGGAGGCGGGTTCTCGCAGTCGCGACGAAGGTGACAACGCGCGACGGTGACGTCGCGACAGAAATACCTTTTCTTCCCGATACGACACGGCCAAGCGCTACCGCGAGTCGCAGAACGGAAAGATCGCTTCCCGGAATTCGCGAGCGTGTGAACGGATCACGTCCTGGCCCGTTAATGGTGGCTATTAGCGTTCTCGAGGGAGACCGTTTACGTGCACCAAGATCTTGCCAAACGACACGCTCCGTGTCGCAGATAAATTCGTTGCTCTCCGAGCCTCTCGGCCTCCGTGAAACGTACCGGGAGCCTCTTTATCTTGAATATCAATCGATAATCCACCGGCTCGTTAACCCTCTCCTTCACCTTTCGTTCCTCCTCTACCACGCCGCGCTCCCGAGGCTAGCTGGAACGCGACCGAAAGGATGCTTTTCTTTTTCAGTCAACGGTAACACGTTGCCGGTGAAAACGCCACGTTAACGACCCAACGCGATAGCCCGAACGCGGCCAAAAATGGATGACTGCAGAGATGGAAAGAGAGGCGAATTGTTGGCGTGGAATTAGAAAGCAGCCGCGGTGAAGCCACGCCGCGGTCGCCATTAGATAATTGAACTTGAAGCCACGAGACGTTGCCCGAGACGCCAATTAAACTTCTCTCTCTGCCCGCTTTCGGATTATCCCGGCTGAGCGCGACCACTTCTCGGACGCGCCCCCGTCCCTTCGTTTCATCGACCTAACTTCCTAAATTATGCCGTTAATGCGCGTTTATTCTGGATTCCACGGTGATCGTTGACGATGGCCGCCGAAGATCAGCTTCTCCGATAAGGGTGCTCGTTAAACGGGGTAGAGGACGGTTCGTTCCACTCTTCCCGGCTGCTTCTCGGCTCCGCTCCGGGATCGTTCGAGTTTTATTAAGTGACAGGCTCTCGCGCCACACCATTCGC